CGCTACCTTGCTTTCCCTTCCTCTGTGCCCCAGTTTTCTCATCTGTAAAGTGGGGTGATCACCCACTCTGCTTTCCTCCGGTTTCTGAGGCTGCAGATCATTATAGGCGTGGCTGTCCCAGTATTCTGTAGGCAAGCTGATTAATATTGAGCTGATGGCATCTCGCAGGGACCCTATAGGACAGAGCAGAGTCGCCCCTGTGGGTGTCAGAGACTGCCTGGTTACTAGCGCAGAAAGGCTCATCTTCCTGGACTCCCTGCCTTCACGGCGATTCCGACTCCTAGCGACATCTCTCTGTAGGCAGTCCTCAAACCAAACTCCCGACCACCGAGTCAATTCCGACTTGCAGCCGAACTCCCCCTGTGGGTTTCCAAAACGGTCACTCTTTACAGGAACAGAAAGCCTCCTCTTTCTCCCACAGCACAACTGCGGGGTTTGAACTACCGACCTTGGTTAGCGGCTCAATGCCTCCCTCACTATGCCACGGGGCTCCCTTCTGTAGGCAGAAACTAAATGTCCCTGCCCTAGCCATGATGGCGAACATGGAGAGAGGTTGATAATGGAGATGGTGGTGGTACTGAGGGTGATCATGGTGGAATAATCAAAATGACGGTGATGGGGGAGGCGGGGGACAGGGGGTGGTACGGCAAAGATCTACACAGTGCACTCTGGTTGTCAGGTGCTGTGTTATGAGCTTGACAAGGAACTCATTCTATGAGGGAGATGTTATTGTTAGCACCCGCATTTCACAGAGAGGTTGAGTAACTTGCCCGACGTCACACAGCAAGGCAGTGTGGAGCTGGAATTCAAACCAGTAGCCCCCGGGGTGCTTGCTGTACATACAACCCTACCCTCTTGTTGCAGGAGGAATCCTGCTGGTCCAGAGCAGAGAAGGGCTTTCACAGGCCGGAGGGGGTCCCCAGCCTTCCGCGAGGGGGACTTGGTGGGCCTCAGGTCAGAGGGCAGCAGGGCTCTGGCCTCCACACCACCTGACTTGCCTGGAGACCTGTTGGGTACACCAGGCAGGCTCACGACAGGGGTGAAGGTGAAGTCGCAGGGCACACAGTGGCTTCTGAAACACGGGCAGCATGGGACCATCCTTTGCCCTGGGGTGAGGGGCTGCTGACTGCCCATTCCCTCCGTTGCTGTGTCCAGCAGACCTGGGAAGCTGGCCTTCTGGGGCTGCTACAGTTCTCGCTGTAGGACTGGGGACCAGGGAAGATGCGTCAGACTAGGAGGGGACAATTTGGCCTAACTCCCGGGGGCTGTTTCAGAACAAGTCAGGCTCGGGCTCTGACTGGCGCCTAAGGGTGAAGGCTGGGCGGAGGGCAGGCCTTCAGGTTTAGAGGCTGAGGCATCCTGTAAGCCAAGCCTTTGGTTTCCAGATGGGTGGCCTGAGACCCAGAGAGGGCGAGGGGCTTTTCCAGAGTCACACCACCCAGGGAGGTAGCGCCAGAGCAGGCCGGTCTCCAGGACTTACAGGCTGTGTCCCTCCCTTGGGGAATCCAGGGAGGGGCTCAAAGGTCCCAGACACGCAGCTGCTTTGTGGCTCCGGGTTCTTCATCCTCCCCTGCCCCCAGTGTCCTGGCCTCAGGCCTTTGCCTGCAGTGCCAGGTCCCCCATCTGTCACGTAGGCGGACAAGGATCATTGTCACCAGATAAGAAGAGTCAGGAGCCTGAGGACCCTTGGGTGAACGGTGCCCGAGACAAGCTGTCAATGACGCACATGATTTGGGACGTGCCCTGGAGTGAAGTGGTGACACTGGCCCTGACCATGAGCAGACCAGGGCGCTGTGGGGAAGTCTGAGGCACACAGCTGGAGGAAGGGGGGGGGTATCTCGCTCCCAGCTTGTGCGTGTGTGAAGGGAGTGTGCCCGAGTGTGTGTGCATGCGTGAATGGACACACGCTCC